TCAGTAGTTCAGCGCGCAGGAGGCTTCCTGCGACCCGCGCAGGGCGTGCGCTCACCCGGGAGCCAGAGGACGCCGAGCAGCCAGGGGCTGAGGCCAAGGCCCGGGTCGCGCATCATCGGCGACTGCGAGCGGAAGCCGGGTGTCCGGGGGGTGTCCTGCGGGCACCGCGGGCAAGAGACTCCAGACGGGACTGGGTCCGTTCCCTGCGTTCCCCCGGGAGGTTCATTCCCTGCCGGGCCCGCCTCCAAGAACACCCCGCCCGGCACAGAGCCAGTAAGCCCCGCGATAGCGGGGCGGGCGGGGCCGCGTGGGGCGGGGCTGACCCCACCCTTTCTAGCCCTGGCCCCACCCCCTCTAGCCCCCTGACCCTGCCCAGCCTTTGTGACCCTCTTCCTCTGACCACCTCCATTGTGACCCACTGCTGGGTGGCACCTCTTGTCCAGGTGAGGCGGTGCAGAGTAAGAAAGGTGGGCCTCCCTCCCCAGGAGGGGCATCTCACCCTGGGCAGGAGTCCCCCAGCTCAGCTCTGGGAGGAGGAGGGTGGAGCTCAATGCAGTCAGCGACCTCAGCCCTGTGGAACCCCTCAGGGCAGCGCCGGGGTGCAAGGGTCCTGAGACTTAAATCTTTGGGAGCAGTCTCCCTTCTCCCACAGAGGGGCTGGGGGCTCAAGCCCCCTCAGCTTGTGGCTAACAGCTTCAAGCCACCAGGGTGTGTGACCTGAGATTCAGGGCCACGCCACCACCCAATGGTGCTGTGTGAGTTTTCGCAAAGCTTCTGGGCAGCCACAACCCCCTTCCTCATTCCCAGAGCCCCCCAGGTTAAAAGACAAGCCCAGTGTCTCAGGTCAGACTCCCCTCCCCCCACAAGGTCCCTTGCAGGGCAAGCACAGTTGAGGTTTCCGGGAGGACCTGGTAGGGTTCAGGAACAGGAAGGAGGTGGTTATGAAACACCCCACCTGGGGCTTTAGGGCACAAGGAATGGGGCATAGGCCCCACAGCCACCTGCTCCTCCCTCTGGGGTTCCCCCTACCCAAGTGGAGCCCCTAGAGCCAGTCTGCCACCTGAGACAGGCCCCCCAAGTCC